TGCTCTGCACGCGGGTTCCCCCCACTCCACCCTCCATGCAGATTTCTCCTGCCCACGATACACAGGTTCCTATTCCTCGAGCTCCTCTGCCTTGTCCAAGCCACTAACTCTGGGAACTAGATAGAAGGGTCCCATGGAGTCTAGTCACCCCCCCCCACCCCCACAAGGGTCTATCAAGCTTTCTTAGACAACCTAATGACCTTTATTTTTTTTAATTTAAATTTCCCCCTCAGAACACTTAGACACTTTCACTTTGACCAGATAAAGACATATGTCTGTGTAATGGGCAGCCTAGGCAATTACCCCCCTCCCACTAAAAGTAAATGACAAGATACCTTTGTCTGGTGAGGCTGTCTCTCAATTGAGTCAATCAATTAGAGGTATAAATTAGGTATGAGCAAGGCTTCAACATCTCAGGCCAATCAAGGGGTCTCCACTACCTGCATCAGGAAGTCAGGGGGATTGTTTTAGGGGCTTGCCTACTGTGTGTGAGGCTGGTGTTTGGAATGGTGGGTTCCCACATCTAGCAGTTTAATGCAAGTCATGGCCAGTCAAGTCCCTGAGAAGGAATCGCTTGGGTAGGAGGCAGGAGGGAAACTCAACCTCTGTCTTGCCCCCTTGCAGAAAAAAGCCACAATAAACTCCAGAGAACCAGAGGATTTGGGCTTTTGTGTGGACATCCAGGCAGTTCCCCAAAGAGATCGGCAGCTAGGGCACTGAGCCCATAACTGTGATAATCAGTGCAAGAAGCCTGTCGAAGCCTCTGTCGGACCCCAGGGGAAGTTCGTCAGTACCCCATGAAGGAGAGAACAGGACTTGCCACCAGACAGCTGTGAGGTAGCCACTGATTAGATGTGGAAGAGATGAGACCTGTCTGGCTTGGGACAGGTCGGGGGGGCAAAGATGCCAGCTTCTCAGTAGAGCCCCCCAAAAGTGAAAGGGGCTGCCTCAGGAAATGAGGGACTTCCTCCCCTAAGTAAGTCAAAAGTCAGCTTGCTGAAAGGGGCAGAAAGGGAGCATTTCTGGAAGAAATCCGAATAGAAGTCAGCTTGAGGAGAAGCAGACTCTGAGATCAAATACTATCTCGAGGCATCGATTGTTAGGAAGCCCTGAGAGAAAACAACCCAGTCCAGTAAGTCCTGAGAAGATGTTAGCAAAGCAGACAAGGCGGCAGGGCATTGTGTGTGACTGCACTCAGTGTTGTAAAGGATATGGCTGATAAACAATGAATAAAATACCATTTTGAGGACTATCGGGACAGTTCATAAGGACCATCGGGGTTCCATCTGACAGGCAGACAGGTCACTGATGATGCAGTGTCCCAAAAGTCTTAGTGCAATTGGAAGCTGCTATAGCCAAGGAACAGTCAGTGCAATGTAATCCAATAAACATTTATTAAGCGCCTGGGCCAGGGTTGGAGCTAAATGTGAGGAACGTTAATAAGAAAGAGTCCCTGTCATTAAGGAGCTTAAATCTAATGGGGAAAGACAACCCACCAAAGGATGATGAAAGGGGAGCCTGGGTGCATGAGGGCGGTTGGTGGAAAATGAAGGAACGCTTTGGGGCAACTAGGTGGCACAATGGGTGTGCCAAGACCTCCGATGCTTGGCATGCGATCAGAAAGACCTGAGTTCAAATCAGACGTACTAGCTGTGGGGCCTTGAGCAAGTCACTTAACCCTGTTTGCCTCAGTTTCCTCATCTGTAAAATGAGGTGGAGAAGGAAATGGCAAACCACTCCAGTATCTTTGCCGAGAGAACCCCAAATGGGGTCACGGAGAGTGAGACACGACTGAAGAATAACAACATGGGCTTCTGAGCCTTCTTTAAATGGGGGCTTTGAGAGGAGATTTTTGCTCAGCCCCTTAATCAGAGGGGCAGAAACATGAAGAGCAAAGCTGATGCAATCTCCTCGGTGAGTTTTCTGGAGTCACAGAAGCCATCTAGCAAGTGAGGCTTTGCATGGCTATGTCTACTGCACGTTTTGTTACTGTGGTCACACAGCTATTTGCTGTGAATATCACTCTTAGGTGAATCCCTGTGATGCTATTTCCATATCCTTTGCTCTGTGGTCCAGTGGCTGTGAGCTCCAGGAGAGAAGGGATCGACTGTCTTTTGCCTTTCTTTGCGGTCCCAGTATTTAGCACAATGCCTGGCATACAGTGAGTGCTTAATAAATGCTTCTGGACTTGTTATAGGCTGATGTGTATTTGGTGCAGTGTTGTATAACTACAGGTGTCAGGCTTTTTGCAGCTGATTTTGCAAGGCACTACAAAAATCTCAAACCCAGGGAAGAATGTTCTAGTTCCGTCAAGACTTGGACTGGCTACTTTACTGAGGACTATAAGTCGCTAAAGAACCTGGAAATTATTTCTTTTTTTTATAATTAATTTATTTAAGGTCTTGACATTCAATTCCATAAGATTTTGAGTTTTAAATTTTCTCCTCCTTCCTCTCCTCCCCCCTCCCCAAAACGGCATGCAATCTGATATAGACTCTACTTATACATTCATATTAAGCCTCTTTTCCCATTAGTCACGATGTAAAGAAGTAGAATTAGTGGGAGGAACCATGAGAGTGGATACAGAAGAAAAGGAGAGCAAATAGTATGCTTCCATCTATATTTAGATTCCATAGTTTTATCTCTGGATGTGGATAGCATTTTTCACGATGAGTCTTTTGGAGTTGTCTTAGATTCTTACGTTGCTGGGAAGAGCTAAGTCTATCAGTCAGTCATTGAATAATGCAGCTATTACTGTGTACAGCATTCTCCTGGTTCTGCTCACTTCACTCAGCATCAGTCCATACAAGTCTTTCCAGGTTTTTCTGAAGTCTGTCTGCTCATTGTTTCTTACAGCACAATAGTATTCCATTACAGTTATATACCACAACTTGTTCCGCCATTCCCCAATGGGCATCCCCTCAATTCTGGAAATTATTTCTTCCCAGCTCAGGTGACTGAGTGCTTCCCTGGCTTCCTTCAAGTCTCAATTGAAATCCCACCTTCTACAAAGCCTTTCCTATCCCCTCTTAATTTTAGTGCCTTCCCTCTGTTAACGATTTCCTCTTTATCCTGTATGTAGCTTGTGTGTACCTATTTGTTTGCGTGTTGTCCCTCCCGTTAGATTGTAAGCTCCTTGAAGGCAGGGACTGTCTTGACTTTTTTTTTATATCCCCCAACTCTTAGCACAGTGCCTAGCACTCCTAGTGGGAGCTTAATAAATGTCAGTCCTCATCCCTGGCTCCTGCCTTACTTAGCTTGTTATGACCTGCTCCCATTTCTAATTTTTAAAAAAATTTTTTTTATTCTTTAAAAGACTGCATCTGACTGATCTAGTTTTTTCTCCTAATAAACACCCGTGGATGACCCTTTCCTGTGTATTTCCTCATGGCCCTTTGTCCACCCCAAGAGGGCACAGGCTCTCTGGGAGCAAAGTGTCCTTTCTTATGCTAGGCTGGGAAACCAGTGCCCCAGGCCATTGTTAGACTGCTTTCTCTTTCCAACTCAGGGCATAATCACAAACATTCAAACATCCAAGGATAGAATTACTATCAATCTGGAGGCTTCATTCTGTTCTATCAGCCCCTAAGCCTAACCTGTTGTAAGTATACACTTAGAGTTATACATAAAATGTATTTGATGAATTGGGAAGGAAAACACTGGCATTTGTAATACTAATAGCCAAGCACTTAATGAAGCTATTTGAGGTTTGCAAAGCACTTTACCTACATGTGTTATTTCATTTTGATCCTCACAACAAACCAGGGAGGTACGTGCTATTATAACCCTCATTTTACAGGTGGGGGAAACTGAGACAAAGGTCAAGGGACTGACCCAGGGTCACACAGCTAGTAGGTGCCTGAGGCTAGATTTGAATTTGGGTCTTTCTGAATCCAGAATCAGGCAAAGGTTAATGTAGGAGATGGTGCCTGAACTTGACCTTGAAGGAATCCAGGCAGAGGTGAAGTGGGCATATATCCAAGCAAGTCCTGAGTGTTTGGTACAGTGAGGTCAATTTGACTGGACCACCGAACACCTGATAGGGAAGAAAGTGTAATAAACCTGGACAGGTAGGTTGGGGTCTGACTGGTGAAGGGCTTTAAATGCCAGAGAGGAATTTCAGTTGACTCCTAGAGGGAAAGGGAACCACTGATTTTTATAGAGTGGGAGAATGACATGGTCGGACCTGGGCTTTAGGAAAATCATTTCCTCAGCTTTGTAGGGGGGTGGGGGGTGGGTTGGAGGACAGAGAGAAGTGGATACGGGGGAGGGAGAGAATGTGAGAGGGAGAGAAAGAAGAGAAGAGAGGGAGAGGGAGACGGGGGAGAGAGAGAAGGGGAGATGAGGGAGAAAAGGAGAGGGAGAGAGGGAGAGAGAGAGAAGAGAGGAGAAGAGAAAGGGAAGGGGAGGGAGAGAATGAGAGGGAGAGAGGAAGAAGAGAAGACGGAGAGGAAGAAGAGAAGACGGAGAGGGAGAGAGATGGGGGAGAAAGAAGAAGACAGAGAAGGGAGATGAGGGAGGGAGAGAATGAGAGAGGGAGAGAGAAGGGAGACGAGAAAGGGAAGGGGAGGGAGGGAATGAGAGGGAGGGAGAGGGAGATGGGGGAGAGAGAGAAGGGGAGATGAGGGAGGGAGAGAATGAGAGGGAGAGAAAGAGGGAGGGAGAAAGAAGAGAAAGGGAGAGGAGGGAGAGAATGAGAGGGAGGGAGAGGGAGATGGGGGAGAGAGAGAAGGGGAGATGAGGGAGGGAGAGAATGAGAGGGAGAGAAAGAGGGAGGGAGAAAGAAGAGAAAGGGAGAGGAGGGAGAGAATCAGAGGGAGGGAGAAGAGAAGAGAAAGGGAGGGAGAGGGAGATGGGGGAGAGAGACAAGGGGAGATGAGGGAGAGAATGAGAGGGAGAGAAAGAGGGAGGGGCAAAGAAGAGAAAGGGAGAGGAGGGAGAGAATGAGAGGGAGGGAGAAAGAAGAGAAAAAGGGAGGGAGAGGGAGATGGAGAGAGAGAAGGGGAGATGAGGGAGGGAGAGAATGAGAGGGAGAGAAAGAGGGAGGGAGAAAGAAGAGAAAGGGAGAGGAGGGAGAGAATGAGAGGGAGGGAGAAAGAAGAGAAGAGAAAGGGAGAGAGAGGGAGATGGGGGATGAGGGAGGGAGAGAATGAGAGAGGGAGAGAGAGAAGGGAAACGAGAAAGGGAAGGGGAGGGAGGAAATGAGAGGGAGAGAGAAAGAAGAGAAGAGAAAGGGAGAGGAGGGAGAAAGAAGAGAAGAGAAAGGGAGAGAGAGGGAGATGGGGGATGAGGGAGGGAGAGAATGAGAGAGGGAGAGAGAGAAGGGAAACGAGAAAGGGAAGGGGAGGGAGGAAATGAGAGGGAGAGAGAAAGAAGAGAAGAGAAAGGGAGGGAGAGGGAGATGGGGGAGAGAGAGAAGGGGAGATGAGGGAGGAAGAGAAAGAGGGAGGGAGAAAGAAGAGAAAGGGAGAGGAGGGAGAGAATGAGGGAGGGAGAAGAGAAGAGAAAGGGAGAGGAGGGAGAAAGAAGAGAAGA